TTCCCTACATCTTGGATCAGTGCCTTTATCACTAGGAATCTGGATAGAGGTGGACACCAATCTACTGAAAATGAAGTGGAGAAGGTTATGGGAGCTCTGAGTAACTTACTGAATTGAACCCAACCCCCAAGAGAAAAAAAAAAAAAAAAAAAAAAGCCTAGTCTACAAATCCTGTATGCTCATACATCATTCCTCTTATCAAAATTAATACGCTTTGACGAAATCTGAAAGTTGGACACTCAGGACATTGCCAGGAAATAGCACCTTTTTCTTTCCACAGCAACTGAAGGTGGGCTCCCAGGACTGCAACTCCATGCTTCAGTACCTGATAAGGAAGATCCTTGATACGACCTACATTGTTAAAGGTTAAATTCTGACTGGCTCTTGAAACAGCTGAACTTTAGGCACTTAAATGCCAGAGCACACTCAGTCATGATGAAAAGCCGGGCATACTCAAAAAACCCCCAAAGCCAAACCCAAAGACAACACAGACAATACCAGAATCAAAACCAATTGGTCTGACTCATGGCACAAATGTCAAAGCACAGACTCCTGCACGTTCTTAGAAGCATCCTGGCTTGATCAACTAGATGCCTCACTCCTGCCAACACCTTAGAACAATTTAGGGTTGGGAGAGAAACCATTCAAAGTAAACCTCTGGTGAAGCTCACTCCATCAGCTTTATCAGATTTCATCAAAGGTGCTTACAGAGCATGAAATCCAAACACAAAGCACACAGCCACCTTCGCCTCTCCCTGCAAACGGGCGTAGGGAAGGAATATTTGCTCAAAATCCTAATGGCAAGAAGCTGAGAAGGGAATTTAACACAGCTCTCACCCCGTGTAAATATTCTAACCATCAGAAGATTCCAGACTGCCCAAGACGTCCTCCTTTTCTCTTCCATTTGCTGCTGACCTCTAGAAGAGGATGTGGCACTATGAATTAAGGAGGCAAAGGCTTTCTGCGTGCGGAATGACTTCACGTGCTGATTCACACACTTGGGACCAATGCTTCTTGCTGGCTCTGGGGGCAACATGCACAGACTATAGGACCCTTAAATCACCCTACAAAAATGTTAAGGTTCCTGGGGCAGTTAAGTAGGGGCAAACATCTCCAAATTCTTGCTGCAAAGGAACCTGCTTTTTCCAAAGACTGAGGAAGATGTCCAAGAGCTTGCTTTACACAGCTCAAAAATCTGGCCCTTACTCCTCTGAATTTTGCCTGCCAAATTTTTGCCAAGAAGTGTAGTAGCCAGGTGCTGAGGTCCTAGATGCGACAGGAGGGGGCTGAAAGCAGGAAAGGAAGAAGCACTGTGCAGCTGAGGAGTTAAATGGGACAAAAAGCACACAGGCAGGAAAGACAACGGTCCACTGATAACCAGTCCTATCCTGCTGTAGTATATATCATGCTGCAGACTCTATATTACTTCTCTGTTTTCTTTACACATTTTTAACTGTTGATTTAATTTAATTTTGCCATGGCAGGATTAGCAGGCAGCCTACAGAGGTGAAAGGACATTACATTAAGAGAGCACATTAATCGTTTATCCCACCCAAGGCAGAAGCAAAACCAAACAAATAGCAGCTTCCTGGAAATTGAATTTCTGTTATCCAGATGTCAAAGATGTAATATCCCAATTACACAAACTATTGCCAGTGAAGCATGCCAGTGAATATGCAATGTAAATGGGGTGAGCACAGAGCTGCAAAACTGCAGAGTCAGCATCTGGCTCTCTGAGTGAGTGATAATTAGCACTGTGTGTAGACACTAATAAACATTTATGTCTGAAATTACAACTTTTAGCAGTGTTAATAAAGGATATATTGGCAATTCGTAGAATAAAAGGGTCTTGAGAAGAATGTCATATTAAACAATGGCAGGCGCTTCCTGTGCTTGCACTTAATTTTTTTTTTCCTCCCTAATTGCAAATGGCCACGCTATGTTGCTCGGAAATTAATCAACACAAGCACATACCTAAAAACACTGGTTGTGTTTCTTTGGTCTCCCCATTAACATCATTGCTGTAGTCAGAGATCTTATATATCTCATGATGGTAATCTGGAATGAAAAACGATAAAAAAAATTAGAACTCAAGCGATCTGGAAAAAATGAACACTGAACACATTGCTACAGTTTTAGTACATAATTGATCAATATATCTGCAGTTTATTTCATGTACATCAAATTAACCACAGAAAATGTGCTCTGTATCAGCACCCCCTAAAAAAACTTTGCTCACAGTGGAAAGACTATGCTCAAATATTTCACAGATTTTAAGGAATCCTACGCCTGCCCTAAATTACTGTGTTCATTTTCACAGCAAATTATCCCACCAGATGCCAATTATCTGGCTTCTTGCTCTACAGATGGAAAGCAGATTTATAATGAAAACTTTACCTTCCTAGAGACCAAGGGAAACTTTCAAACTTCAATTCAATCAGAAAATCAGCACCATACACTAAGGCTGCATCGTTCAGCCTGGTCTCATTGGCCTCTGAATTCTGAATAAAGGAGGATCAGGGACACCTTAGGATATACACCTATAGAAACTAACGTCTGTGATGACCCTCAGAATGAAAATTAGCATCTCATATTCAGAGATGTTACAGGATAAAAGAAAAAAAAATTCACCATTGAATTTCTATTTCAAATAAAAGAATATTTTCCTGTGAAGGTCTCTGCTGTAATCCCAGGCAGGTGTTCAACAAAACCAGAGCTTTGTTTACACGTGTGTACAGAGGGAATAGTAAGTCCAAGGGAAAAAAAAAAAAGTTTAAAGGCAGCTCTCCTGGATGCTATTTCTGACTCTGCTACTGGCAGACACTTTGTCCTTCGGCAAATCGCTCAAAACTGAACAATATATTCAGTGTCTTGAAACAGCCACCTCCCCACAGAACTCCTCTAATGCCCTCCCAGTTCCCAATGATCTCAGCTACACCCTCTGTAAATCGGTTTTTATGTATGCCCGCCTCACAAAAACCAAGGTAGGGATTAATTTGGGGAATAGGACTTTGAGGGATTCACTTAAAAGGCACAACAGAAACACAAGGCGGCAGAAGCAGCTCCTCCTCCCGCGAGCAGCACACCTGCACCTCTGACAAAACAGCTACAGGATCAGAAAGGTCTCCTGGAAGCCAAACCTTTTTTTGTTATGTGCCATTTATTTGTACAGCACGACTGTCTCGAGGGCACAAGAGGAGGAACAACCCAATAAGTAAACTAGAATCAAGGCTAACACAGCGACGCAAAAGAAAGAAAAGGGCCTGGAAAGAAAATGAGGAGAAAAAAAACACGACAGGGAGTTGGAGAGGTCAGCGATGAGGTGTTACACAAAGGGTTTCTCCGCCTGCCGAGCACGCCCAACAAGTGAAAAGGTTAAAGGTGAAGTTTGAGATATGACACCGAGGCAGTAAAGCTTCCTTTCATCAGGTTAGAACTACGGGATTTCTGCTGACTGCCTTCTATAGTTATGAGCTGTCCTGCTGAGGAGGGGAGCGATGGAGCAGCGCGGTGGGCACCTGGCAGCCAGCCGAGGTCAGCCCACCACACTCTGCATTTTCATCCTCTCAAGGGTCTCCAAGATCTGCTGGGAGGGAGGATGTCGAAACTAAGAATTAAATGACTTACAGACTTCATGGTCCTTAAACAGATAGATCACATGTGGTTTCTTCTCTAGCACTTCCCTCTGTACATCCAGCTGGTCACAATATCCTTCTGATCTACAGCTGCTGCCTTAAAGTCACCACATTTCACCCCACAGGCAGCTGCGTTTTAGTGCAGGAATGGATTTCCTCTGGATCTGGTCATTATTGGTCAACTCGATAAGGTGCTCTGAAGGTTTTTTTGGGACAGAAAAAGCACTGGATAGGCACACATCGCTAACAGATGGTGTGTTACCAACAAATCGACACAGCATACCCTTTTCTCTTTGGTTTCCTTCTGCCTCGGATGTCACAGTCCATATCAATTTCACAACAGTAAACACTAAACTGTGGCATTACAGAATGACTCCAGCAAGAGGCAAAGGCCAATTACAAGAGACAACTATTAATATATAATTATCTTTCTAATCAACTGTGATAGAAAAAGAGTACACGGGTGCAGACTCACATGCAAAATGTGATTTTTATCTCTCCTCCGTTCTCAGACTACAAAGACACAATTTTCTCTGTAGGATGTGTTTTTAGTGTTGCTCTCTATTTCACTTTCCACATCCAAAAGGAGACCCCAGATAAAATAAGAATTACTAATAAAGTATCATCATAACTGAATGTATACATTAAAACAAGCTTAAATAGAACATCTTATACACTGAGGCATATCTAAACCTGTAAGGAGTGGCAACTGAGAATTTGCAAAAGAGTCATCTATTTCTGATAATGCACATATTCTTTTTACAGCTCCATCAGGACAGAAATAAAACCGAGTCTTCAATTTCAGTTTTGCTTTTCCACATGTTTCACTTTCACCCCCCAGGCTCCAGCCTAGTCCTGCACTAACTCTGCCTCTGAGTCAGGAGCACATTTGACACCAAAATTCCACCAACCAAACCTGTTCTCTGTAGAAAATAAACCTCTCGATAGGTTTGTTAATGCATACCAACCTCCAATATGTTTTGGACAAGTCTGACGGGTCACTGCCCCTCTAGTTTTTAACAGGGAGCATGTGCGGTGCTGCAGACCCCCCTATGAAGACACAGCAGTCATTATTTACTATTCCTACCAATAGAGTTTATTTCCATCTTTAAATTTCTTCACATTGAATGGGATTTTGCTGAGCGCCTGCAAAGACACTGCTCTTCAGGCGGCAAGTCTTGACACTCACGTGTGTGTGTCCCCTTTCCCAAGTGTGACACTACACCCAAGCAGTCACCTGCCCTGAACTTGGCATGCAGGACACACATGGCGTTTCATGGAGATGTTCCCGTTCAATACTTGGAAACACAAAAGGAAAAAAGACCTCAAGTCAAATCCATCAGGGCAAAAAAATCTCATTGGCTGGAGAAGGGATAAAGCCCCAACCAAAATAAAACCCTAGGGCTGGGAAGTCCACCTGTTAAAATGCCTACCAGCGCCTGTATCTTTTTATTATTTTATTATTATTAAAAAAACCAACAAGACTGAACCACAGAGCTGTGCTTCTTCCCCGACAGGAATACAAATACTTCCCCCTGTGATGTCTTTTAAAATATCCTCTTTTCCAAAAGCAAACACACCCCGAGTGAACAAGTTACACGCCAGAGGCTCTCCTCTGCCCACGTACAATTAATTAGCTGCGTGGATTTTTAATAAAGCAACCTCTATTTGGCTTTTCTTTGAAATACGTGGCTGTACGCAATAAGGGGAGGAAGAAAACCACCCAAAACACAATAAATCCACCAGAGTTGAATACTAAGAAGGTCCGTTGCTGCTCAGGTATCATCATTTTTTGCTCGTTTCCCGATTTTACCTTTTCTCCCCCCCACCCAAAGCAGGATTTAGACGAAACAGGATCCAACTTTATTTTGTGCAAGATCTGCCTGGAAAAAAAAACCCAAAACAAAACCAAACCCCACGTCCACCCTTCTGGGGTGGTTTTGGAAGGTTTTGTTTTTGAAACAACACGTAACACACATGCAAAAAAAAAAAAAATTAAAAAAAAAGAGGGAAGGCGGGGGGGGTTAAAGAAAAAAAAAAAAACCAAACAAATAAAAGGCGTGCAATGGTTTCGGGGAGTTCA